CTCTTTCCCTCCCTGGTTTATTGCTTGGGTATTACCCAATGTTGTGCTGCCATGGATATGGCCAGGAAAATGGAAAATTTATTCATACTTACCGTAATTTTCTTTTCCTGGTCATATGCCATGGCAGCACAAGGGTCCCACCCGGGGCTATTGCTGGAAAACATGACTGGGGAAGGAGGGGTAGGAGGTGGTACTTATACAGCTTAATTATTATTCCTGTCCAATGGGGATAGGGAGGAGCTACCCAATGTTGTGCTGCCATGGCATATGACCAGGAAAAGAAAATTACGGTAAGTATGAATAAATTTTCCATTATATTACTATCAAATTACACGTAGACTAATACTGATTAAATATATATATATATAATTATTGTTATATATATATATATTTATATATAATATAAAAAAATGTAAATACGTAAAAAAAATAAAATTACAAAAATAATTAAAAATAAATAATAAAAAATTATATAGATGTTTGTTATTTCGTTCTAACTGTATTGTGATATTAATATATATATATTTATATCAAAATACACGTAGAACGAAATAAGATATATATCTATATACATAAATATATACATATATATCACTAAATATATACACCTATATATAAATAAAAATATTTAAAAAAATTATATATATGTATATATACACATATGTATATATATACATATATTAATTCTACACATATATTTATGTAATATTTTTACATAATTAGGTATCCTAATTAATTACAATTAGCGGGACCTGCCTGACAACCCATGCCGAAAGTATAGGGAATTTAATTTGCTAGCACTATATTTAACCCTATAACTTTCCAAGACACCATAAAACCTGTAAATTGGGGTACTGTTTTACTCGGGAGACTTCGCTGAACACAAATATTAGTGTTTCAAAACAGTAAAATGTATTACAACAATGATATCGCCAGTAAAAGTGAAGTTTTTTGCATTTTTCACGCACAAACAGCACTTACACGGATGATATTATTGCTGCAATACTTTTACTGTTTTGAAACACAAATATTTGTGTTCAGCGAAGTCTCCCGAGTACAACAGTACCCCTCATGTACAGGTTTTATGGTGTTTTCAAAAGTTACAGCGTCAAATATAAGGCTTGTGTTTCTTTTTTTCACATTAAAATTCGCCAGATTGGTTACGTTGCCTTCGTGACCCTATGGTAGCCCAAGAATGAAAATTACCCCTATGAGGGCATACCATTTGCAATAGTAGACAACCCAAGGTATTGCAAACAGGGTATGTCCAGTCTTTTTTAGTAGCCACTCAGTCACAAACACTGGCCAAAATTGGCGTTTTTTTGCATTTTTCACACAAACAGATACTAACGCTAACTTTGGCCAGTGTTTGTGACCAAATGGCTACTAAAAAAGACTGGACATACCCCATTTGCAATACCTTGGGTTGTCTACTATTGCAAATGGTATGCTATTATGGGTGTAAATTTCATTCCTGGGCTACTATAAAGTCCCAAAGGCAACGTAACCAATCTGGCGAATTTCAATTTCAAATGTAACGTGCTATATTTGACCCTGTAACTTCCCAAAACGCCATAAAACCTGTACATAGGGGGTACTGTTTTACACGTGAGACTTTGCTGAATACAAATATGTGTATTTTATTGCAGTAAAAGCAAACCGTATTATGACACTGACAGTTAAAATGTCATGTAGAACTAAAAAAATATAAAAAAATCTTATTTTCTCCCATTTTTTTCATATTAAATTATGTTTCATAGCTAAATATTTGATATTAAATGAAAGCCCTGTTTCCCCTGAATAAAATGATATATAATAAGGGTGGGTGCATTTACTATGAAAGAGGTGTATTACGGTTGGACAGACATGTAGCGCAAATGCCAGGTTTTGTTTACATTTTGTTTTGTTCACAACGTGTACATTTGGCTCCGTCCTTAAGGGGTTAATGTAACTGTGCAACAACGTTGCAATTAAATGTGCTATATAAATGATAACAGTTACTCCGCCCACTCCAGTTGTAGACTACTGGTGGAGGCAAGAACACTTCACACAATTTCCCCAGAAATTGCAGCTTTTCTAGTATTATTTATTGCAGTTTCTGTAATTTTCACATTTTGATTGTTTTTTTGCCAGCCCCTGGAACGTGCAGCCCAAGGCAAATGCCTTGTTTGCCTCGCAGCAAATAGAGCACTGATCATAACCACAACACCATGGGTGTCCAACCTTTTGGCTTCCCAGGGCCACATTGAGTGAAGAGAAATGTCTTATGTCGCACATAAAATATATAATATAGTTAATGTATATAAGTAATAAAACTCCATTATTATTTTTTATATATATATTTTTAATTTTAAAATGTAAAAAAAGAGGACAATCAAAAACTAGTGGGACCTTTTTTTGTGAAACTAATGCATCAGTGTCTGATTCGATGAAAGTGGTTGCAATTCTCAGTGAGTTGTCAAGGCACTTGCCAGAAATTTTACTTCTATTTTTACTCTTTGTGTGCTTCGTACTTGAAAATTGTTGCTCACAAATGTACGTACTGCCAAAAAGAGATGTTGTGAATAAGGCGTGATTGTAAAGTGAGGGATCTTTTACTTTGGGAATATAGATTTATAAAAAGTCCAGCAGAGACACATGATCTTTTTTGTATAGATGTAGCAATATATTGATGATCTTTCCAGAAAACTTAAAACCTGTTCTCAAATTCCTCTATCAAATCGAAAAAGCAAGGCTGCATACTTCTGCCTGTTCACAGGAATGTGTTTAGCCAACATATTAAAATGTATAAAATTATTTTGAACTTGAGCTTGCTATACTTTGTTTCATTTCAAACGCTGTTATGGTTTGAACCATTGCAGTGAGAAGTTGGTTTTCACCTTAAAGATGCATGTTTAACTAATTTAAATGAGTTATCACCCCAAACATGCTAAATCTGCAAGCCATTTTTCATCTTCAAGTTTTAGCACAATTTTTTCTTTTTGATTCTATGAACGACTTGATTTAATTTAGCAAATCATAAAATCTTTTCAGCATTTTATCCTGACATAGCCACCTTACTTCAATAAAATCACTTGCAATTACAGATAAACTAAGCCAAGTGTTTACTGAGCAATCATTTGAACCATTTGAAAATCGTCCTCAACTCTTCAAATGCTTTTTAAACTGTTCAATACCTGTTAAATTCAAATAACCATTTCCAGCCAACCAGACAATATAATCTAAGCAGTTTAAAATTGACTAGGACAGTATGCAATTTAATTTACTAAATGGTAACAAAATGCAATAATCTACATTAACCAATTAAAAGAAATTAGCGTCACAAAATTATATCTAAGCTTTGAATACGTCCTTTTTTTTTTTTTATATTTCGTTTTTGTTTGTTTCAGTACTTGTGTTACAGTGTTATATAACAGATAAACATTGTAAACATTCTACCATGGTAGAATTTAACCAGGTTTCACAGAGAATGCAGCGTTACAGCCATATCTTGGTATGCAAGTCACATACAAAGGGAGTAGGTACATTGTATGGCAGCAGATGTTATATCGCTATAATCTGGTGAGTATATAGTCATTCCAGATCTGGCTATTTTGGATACCATGTGTGACTACGGGAAAAAAATTAAAATAAAAAAAAAAGGGTGAGGATAACCGGTATTGGTAGGGAGAGGGAATGTGAGTAGATGGAGGGGTTCGGGATGCTGCATCACCATTTAGAGTGGTGTCTCAGAACACTGTCTTAGCTCACAGTCTTAGTTCGCACAGTCTCGGCTCAGCCGCCACGTCCACCTTCGTGAAATTAAGGGAGTTGTGTTTGATACTCAGTCCCGCACTTCCCTGACTCCTGGGGCGGGGTGGCTAATGGACCTAAGAGTATGTTGGGTCCTGGTTCAGCTGACCCAACCATTTTCACCATATTTGGTTATAACGTGTTAAGGTGCCCTTGATTGTGTGTGATATTTTCTCGAATTGCTGCGTTTGGTTTACCCTGCTAACTACCTGTTTTATTCACGGTGCAGTAGTTGATTTCCAGAGGGAGGCTATGCAATGTTTGGCCGCTAGTGTGATGTGAGTGGTTAGCGCTGCCTCAGAGTGCGAGAGGTTTGTGGGCAGCATGTGTAGTAAGTAGGTCTCCGGAGTGAGTGGGAGCACCTTCCGTAGACTTGTTTCTATCAGCGATTGTACTTGGCTCCAGAAGGTGGTTAGTACAGGACATTGCCAGAATATGTGGCACATAGTACCCAGCGCCAACATGTCTGCTGTGCACCTGGGTATATTAGGGCCAATCGCTGAGAGTTGAGATACCATCTCATCCAGAGTTTATAGGCAGCTTCCACATGGTCTAGGCAGTGCATGGCCTTCTTCACCAATGCCATCGCTGCTAACCACGACTTCCTCTCTGCTGTGGGGGGGGGGGGATCTCCACTACGCGCATAACCTGAGGTGGTCAGCATCTCCAGAGGGGTGGGTGGGCAGGGGTAAAACATAACATATAACTGAGGGGGAAAACAATGAACAAAACGAAAGTATATACATCTCAGAAAGCATGACAGCATTATGGTGAGGCAGACCCGCGGACGCAGGTGCGAGTCTCAGTGGGAGGCGGGGGGGTAACGATCCAGGTTCAAAAGTGGTCAGGGGGGGTCAGGGGGGATACTTTTAGCAGGCATAAGGGGGGGCCCCAGACAAACGTGTATTACCCCGCCGCTGCCTGTGGTATGAGCACAATGTTTTGTGGGGGGTACAGCAGGTATTGGAACCAGGTGGGTTGGAGAGCCTCCTGGGAGGGTCTCGACAGAGACATCCTGGCGTGCCTGTAGGCAGCTCCGGGCCATATGGGGACCTGTCTGTACGTGGTCACACGTGTCGTCAGAGAAGGGGAGTCAGCCCCAAGGCTGGAGTATGTTGCCCAAGGCAGGGTGTCATAACATATAATATTTAGGGCAGCAGCATCCTATCAGTGTGGGCTTATGGGTCGGCAGCAGTTACTCTGCTTACTCACGTGGTGAAATACCCAATCTCCTCCAGACCTGGTCCCTCCCCTAAAAGCAAATTGGGGGGGTTAAGTTCACCATGTAGGGTCCCAAGGGGGTCCGGTAAGTGAAATTGTAATGTCCGTTGCAGGAGGGAGGTGCGCAGCAGTCCAGTCAGTTCTTTTTTGGAACTTTGGTCCACTCCTGGGCCACTCGTCGTGGGGGTGCAGGGGTGCCGGTAGTCGCTCAGTCCGGGAATAGGCCCCAGGCTTTCAGCTTGTTCATCCCCTGGTCCGGGTCATCCAGTTTTGTTAGGGATCCGTTTCTCCAGATTAACAATTTCGTAGGGAAGCCCCAGCGGTAGGGATTCTTGTGGTTGCTGAGGCATTTTGTTATGTTTACAAAGTCCCTTCGTCTAGCCATTGTCATGGGAGACAGATCAGCATACAAAGAGATATCAGCATAGCCAGGGGGGGCATTGCCGTGGCTTGGCGTTGCGCTGTGAGTATAGCCTCTTTGGCGCTAAAGTAATGAAGCTTTGTGACAATGTCTCTGGGTATATCTTGGGCCAGTTTAGCAGGTTTGGATACTCTGTGTGCCGTGTCCAATCTGAGGTCTGCCAGTTCCATGGTCGGCTGTATGGCTTTAAAGAGTTGTTGGAGGTATACTGGGAGGTCTGCTCCTAAAATAGTTTCAGGGACCCCACGCACCCTGATGTTATTACGGCACGACCGGTCTTCTAGGTCCGCCAATTTGACTGTTAAGTGCATTTGCTCTTCTTCTAATTTGTGGACTCTCTCCAGAATGCCATCATTGGCAAGGCAGAGATCGTCAGTTTTTTCCTCCAAAGCATTTAAGCGGCTGCCCACCTCGTGTACCTCTCGGCGGATGTCATTGACCGCTAGTTGGAGATCCTCCTTCATAGAAGAGCGGAGCTCCTGGAGCATAGCCGACATTCTTTTCTCTGACATGGAGATATCCCCAGGAAGAGGCTGTGTGGTCTCTGTGTCTGATCCCTGGTCTGAGGCGAGTGTTGGTGAGTGGGAGCCGCCGCCATCTTGTTCCGGCTGTGTTTTATCCCGTCTGCCTTGGCGGAAGAAATCCGATGCGCGCTGTGCTTTAGGGTGTGCCATCGTGTAGGGTGAGGTCTCCCCAGGTATCAGGTAGTTATCTAAGTGCTGCGTTTTTTTAGTCGTTTTAAGCCATTACTAGCACGGAGCTTTCACACCATGCGACCGTTTCCATAGGACCGGAAGTCCCGCCTCTTCCTGTCTGTTTTTAAGCTAGACTAAGATAATTTAGGAAAAATAGTTTCTGAAGATATTGGAATACAATCCTTTGATATTCTATCATTACTGACCATATATCCACTATTGTGTACTTTACTTGAGCTGCAGTTTCTAATAAAGTAAACGGGCTAATATTCCCCCCTATGAATATATTTGTTCGATTTGCTTCCAAATATTTTAGCTAAAATAGAAAAAGGCAGAATAAAATTATCACATTGAAGCTGCTGGAATGTCTTCTGTTCCTCTGGAACTATGGATTAGTCCAGTGGTAAAAGTTAGGAAAAGTTAAGTGAACGTAGGGCCGTAAGAATTTACAGGAGGTGTGTAGGTTGGAGAGTGTGTTTCAGGGAATGTCCGTTAGAGAGCGTATTCTCTTAGAAAGTGTTCTCTTGAGTAGAGTGCAATATTGAGTGGAGCAAATTTTGTGGTAGCACTTTATACAATTTTGTGCAATTCTGTGCAAAAATGTGTTTTGGCACAGTGCACTTTAATTAGGATTTCAGTGTATATCACATGCTATATAGCACTACTTTTGAAAATATGTACAGTTTTTGATTGCTGTGTGGATGTACTGTGTATTTTGAGATATATAATCACTAGTAAATGCATAGATTTCTTTATAAAACAGATCTAAAATTGTGCTTCCCTGCGCTTCTGTCTGGCACACAATCAGCATAGACTGTCTGCAAGTGAGCCGGTACTCAGGTCCTGCTCCATTAATTTCATTCATGCATGCATTCAACATGCTTCAAAGGTAATGCTCTAAGAAAATCTGGCAAACTACGTGATTGTTGGTATTATGTGTGCTGTGATCAAGGTGTCCTAGTGACTAGAGTCACCAGAATAACTACACCTTAAAGGGATTTAAAGCTGTTTTACTGGCACTATAGGCTCCTGCAGTGCCCCCCTACCGCAGAGCTGAAGGGGTTAAAACTTCGGACACTGGAGGTTCTCATGCTGTCCAGCGTCAGATAACAGACCAAACGTGCCGTTTCAATTCAGAAAGTCCTTCTAGTGGCTGTCTGGTAGCCACTAGAAGTTGCTATAATAATTACCACTGTAGGATGAAGTGGTCTGGCACCCAGACTACTTCAATGAGCTGAAGTGGTCTGGGTGTCTACAGTGTCCCTTTAATGTAGTTGTTCTGGTGAGTATAATCATTCCCTGCAGGCGTTTTCATGTAAACACTGCCTTTACAGATTCGGCTTCCTGGGCCAGTGCTGCACAGTGTGCCGTTTAGCGTCTCCATGCTCTGCATGAAGCCGCTGAATTTTCCTCATAGAGATGCATTGATTCAAAGGCAGCCGGCATTTGGTCCCACCTCCATCCAGCCTCCTTGCCGATATCAGCCAATCCCTATGGGGAAAACATTGGATTGGCTAAAATCATTTACTGTATTTTTACATGTATAAGACTGTGTTTTTTGGGGGGTTTTTTCCCCAGAATTTTTGTTTAGTCTAATTGGGGGTCAAATCTAAAAAAACAAGTACTGTGCTCAAAGACTCACTACTATTGGGCAGCAGCAACGACCATAGTACCAGAAACTCAAGGAAGCAAGGTGAATAATTGGTGTAGGACCCACCTAAGAGGTTTGCCTTTGAAGTGGCAGGTGGGAATTCCCTCTAATGGCCATTGGAGTAACTAAATAATCTCCATTTGTCTTAAGATACATAGGAATTTGGAAAAAAGTGCAGGTAACTTTATTTTTTTATTTTTTTTTTAAATTGGGTGGCGTCTTATACACGGAATGTCACTGCAGGGGTTTAAAAAAGAAAAAAAAAAAAAAACTTGCGCGCTGGGCTTGCCAGCCAAGGTAGTCACATGTGGCTGGAGCTTCTTCAAAAATCGAATTAAGTCAAATACTTACAGTACTTACTCAACACTAACTCGCTAACATAGTACACCTCTGCGTTCTGCTGACCTATTTGAAGGAGAGGAGGAACTTCTCCATAAATTTGATTGTGTGCACGGGTCTGGGAGATTTTGTGCAACCGCATGCTTCCTCGCATCTCTCTGGACCACACCAAGACTTCACAACAAGCGGCCCGCACCGTAAGGAGGCTTCTGCACTTAGTGCCACCCGATGGGCCTTTGTCAGCAGGAGCCTGGTCGAGCGCTGTGGGCTTTAAACAGCCCGACCAGGCCCCCCTGCTTATGGCCCTTTACCCCTTCCCCCCGATATATACAAGCTCTGGCCCTGCTGTGTGCCTTCTACTAAATACCTACCTAAAGGATCAAAATTTAATTGGCTTTCTTAAAGGACCACTATAGCCACCCAGACCACTTCAGCTTAATGAAGTGATCTGGGTGCCAGGTCTATCTAGGGTTAACCCTGCCTGCTGTAAACATAGCATTTTCTCTGAAACTGCTATGTTTACATTAGGGTTAATCCAGCCTCTAGCGGCTGTCCTATTGACAGCCGCGAGAGGCGTTTCTCACTGTGATTTTCACAGTGAGAAGACGCCAGCGTCCATAGGAAAGCATTGAGAAATCCTTTTCTATGGACTGAATGCGCGCGCGGATGTGCATTCCGCCGATGATGTCGGAAGAAGGAGACTCCCCAGCGCCGAGGGAGCCCGGCGCTGGAGAAAGGTAAGAATTTAACCCCTTCCTTCCACTTCAGCCCGGGAGGGGTCCATGATGGTGGGGGGGACCTATTAACACTATAGTGCCAGGAAAACGAGTACTATAGTGGTCCTTTAAGTTTGAAGTTTCATCTATGTAGTAGGTAGCTCCCTAATTTGGTATCTTTTTGCTGGATTGCCCTACTTAACGGTACCAAATTAGGGAATTCATATCTCCTAAATTGCTGAAACAGCAATATTAAGAAAATGGATTTAGTAGATTGCTCCATAATTTGATATCCTTATGTGCGATTGTATTCATTAGAGGTAACCCAATTAGGGAGTTGTGTTTTAGTACGTGGATTCCTAATTTGAGATCCTTAAAATAGAAACATAGAATGTGACTGTAACGGAGCTCCTTGTACTCTGACCGAGTACCCTCCGTTGATGGATACTCCTAGCGCTTCCTGAGGACTCCAAGCACTGCAGCAGACACCACAACCACCGCAGACTCCGCAACCGCTGTATCTTGACTGGAGTCTCGCCGTCTTCCTTCAACCCTGGATCAGCTTCTGTCCTCCAGGACTGTGTGGGAAAGAACTCTTCTTTCCACCCTGTACGAACCTCCAGCATCCAGGACTGTGTGGTGAAGACCCCTCCTCCAAAGAGAGCGTGTCAGGAACAAGCTCTTAAAAGAGCTAAGTGACTCAAGCTCAGGGGAGCATGCAGAGCATAGCAATCCCCAGTGTGATTATAACAGCTCCCTCCAATAACGAGACAAGGCTACGTTTAGAGGGATCAAGAAGAACTGTCAAAACCTTTATTTCCCTTGGGACCAGCCAATAGGGTCACCACAATAACATTGTTGTGAAACCTCAATAAAATCACAAACAGTCAAACCATATCAAGAAACACACAGTGACTTATCACAACACAATGGCACATGTTTAAAGGGGTGGGGGGAGACAATATTTAACAGTAAATATCTCACCTGCCTGCAGAATTAGCAATATGCAAATCTACCCGAATATGCAAATGAACCAGTCTTGCAATTCAGGTAGTGCATATTGCTGTTGCTACCAACAGAGGGCACTAGACAAGCTCCATAGCCAAACCCACCTAGTTGGTAGCAAACCTCAGCAATACAAGAGAGCAGGCAATACATTACACAGTACACACACCCACACACACTATAAACAATTACATAACACACACCCTGCACCTATAATGGGTACATGGTGACTAAAACATAAGATAAATAAAGCAGCCTACATAAATAGTCTGTCTGAAGGTAGACTAGGGGCTTTAAAGCCAGATACATGAAAGAGTCATAGTCACAGGGGAGGAGGCTGGCAAGTAGGCCTCTCCAGGACCAAGTGGCGAAGGGCACTTCGTCACATATCTCCCCTTCGGGGGGAAGACTAACCAGGCACCTGACTTTCTGTCGGTCAGTGCCAAAGTTAGTCGAGTCACCCACCGACCATAAGCAAGTGCCAGAGCAGCCCACCCACAGCAAACAGTGACTGCACCTGGGTATTCCTCTGGGGTGATGGGGCAATACGCTGTGGGGACTTGAGGGGCAGAGGCCAGCGGCGCTCTGCCCTGATGCCAGCGCTTCTGCTGGGAGGAGGGGGGTGCAGGCCAGTCCTGTGACAAGGGGATCGGTAGGGCAGAGGCCAGCGGCGGTCTGCCCTGATGCCAGCTCTTCTGCTGGTATAGCCTGCAGGACATCAGGCTCTGGACAAGGGACAAAGGGAGGGCAGAGGCCGACTGCACTCTGCCCAGCTGCCAGCTCTTCCGCTGGGGGGCTTGGGACATAGTCCGGCTCAGTAGCCAGGGGAACGTGGGGGTCAGTGGGGGTTAACATCTCCCCTGTTAACCCTGGGGCCAAGTTAGGAGTTAGCTGGGGAGGGGAATTCGTACTTACCCCCTCCTCCTGTTGTCCCTGTGAGGGTAGTTTGGGATCTGGACAGGCTGTCCAGCATCCCTGTAGGTCGGGCACAGAGACCACGGTCCCCTCTGCGCCATCTGGGAGATTGGTGTCTCCCCTTGGTAGGGTAAGCTGCCACTGGGGAGATAGGGTGCTGTGCTCCTCTCCCTGAAACACAGGCTGCCGCTGGAGAGGGAGACCGCCTGTCTCCACTCCCATAACATTGTCCTGCCGCTGGAGAGAGAGACCAACTGTCTCTGCTCCCTGTAGGACACACTGCTGCTGGGGAGGAAGGACGACACCTTCGGCTCCCTGTAACTTGCACTGCCGCTGGGGAGGAAGGACGACAC